ACTACTACTACTGACTACTACTACTACTACTACTACTACTACTACTACTACTACTACCACTACTACTACTACTACCACTACTACTACTACGACTACTACTACTACTACTAATACTACTACTACGACTAGTCCTACTTGTACTACTACGACTGCTACCATTACGGCCACGACTACGGGTACTCCTCCTACTAGTACGACGGCTGCTACGACTACTACTACTACTACTACTACTACTACCACTACTACTACTACTACTACTACTACTACTACTACTACTACGACAACTACGACTACTACTACTACTAGTACTACTACTTCTACGACTACTACTACTACTACTACTACTACTACTACTACGAAGACTACGACTACTAATACTTTTACCACGACTACCTACGAAGACGATTGCCACTACTACTACTACTACGGCTATTACTACTACTACTACTACTACTACTACTACTACTACTACTACTACTACTAGTACTACGACTACTACTACGACGACTACTATTACTACTACTACTACTACTACTACTGCTACTACTGCCACTAATACCACTACTACTACCACCACTACTACTACCACTGTTACTGCTACTACTACTACTACTACTATTTCTACTACTTGTGCTACTACTACTACTACTACTACTACTACTACTGCTACTACGACTACTACTACTACTACTATTACTACCACTATGACTACTACTACTACTACTACTGCTACTACTACACTACTAGAACTAACACTCACCACTTCTACTACCTACTAACTACTACAACTAAACTACTACCTAACTACTACTTAGTTACTACTACAACACTACTTACTACTACTACTACTACTACTACTGAAATAGAGAAGTTACTGATAATCTTGAGCTAAACATCCAAGAGAAACCTCCAAAACAAAAGTAAAACTACTACAACTACACTAACTACAACTACTACTACTTCTACTACTACTACTACAACCACCACCACTACTTCTAACGACTATTACAGACTACGACTAACTACTACTACTACTACGACTACTACTAACGCACTACTACTACACATACTAAAACAATTACCAACTGACTACACTACTACTACTACTACTACTACACTACTGCTACTACCACTCCCAGTACTACTGCTACTATTACCACCACAACTACACTCCCACCACTACTACCACTACTACTACTACTACTACTACTACTACTACTACTACTACTACTACTACTACTACTACTACTACTACTACTACTACTACTACTACTACTACTACTACTACTACTACTACTACTACTACTACTACTACTACTACTACTACTACTACTACTACTACTACTACTACTACTACTACTACTACTACTACTACTACTACTACTACTACTACTACTACTACTACTACTACTACTACTACTACTACTACTACTACTACTACTACTACTACTACTACTACTACTACTACTACTACTACTACTACTACTACTACTACTACTACTACTACTACTACTACTACTACTACTACTACTACTACTACTACTACTACTACTACTACTACGACGAGTACGAGCACTAGAGTCACACTTGACTTATGGACTGGGAGGTTTGGATTTGGGCGTGGCTTTGGGTTTGGATTTGATAGGAAACCTTGGTATTGAAATTCAGCTTGGCCTCTAATAGGAACGCCTCCTATGAATCCAAAAGAAAAGTGATAAGCATTTAAGGAATTCAATTGGAATCAAATACAATACCGTCCTAGCGAAACTCAATAGGATTCCATGAACTCCTTGAAAACTTATGGGGGCCCAATAGGAAACTGAAGGAACCGGTCGCAGGCGAAGTCTGACATACACAAATCCCGAATCATGTTTTCACACTGGTAAAGATGGCCCAGCCAACGTAGCGGCCACAAATGCGTGCGGATTGCTGCTAAGCTCTGCTGAGCCCTGCGCAGCCCCGTGAATCCCTGCGACGCCGGTCTGCTAAGCCCTGCTCAGTCCTGCTGACTCCTCGTCAGCTCTGGCGAGCCCTGCTATATGCGCTGGTAAGCCCTGGTCAGCCCCCCTACGCCCTGCCACGCTCTGCTGGGCTACGCTAAGCCCTGCAGCGCCAGGCTAGGCTCTGCTAGGCCCTGCGAAATCTAGTAAGCCATGCTTCGCCCCGCTAAGCTCTGCTAAGCGCTGCTAAACAGAGCGAAGCCCTGCTGGCCCTTGGTGCGTTGCGCGTGGTGCGTTGTGTATGGTGCGCTGTGTGTTGTGCGTCGTCTTGTGTGTTGTGCGTGGTGTGTCGTGTTGGGCGCGTTGTGCGCGGTGTGTTGTGTTGGGTGCGTCGTGCGAAGTGCGTGGTGCGTTATGTGTGCGGTGTGTGGGTTGTGTGTCGTGTGCTGCGCGCGTTGTGCGTTGTGTGTTGTGTGCGTTGTGTGTTGTGCGCGCTGCGTGAGCGTTGTGTGTTGTGCGCGTTGTATGTCTCGTGGGTGGTCATATTTCCCGCACCGCCCAGGCCGTTCCTCGCGGCACTCCTCGGAGTCCTCGGCCCTCCTCCTCCTCCTCCTCCTCCTCCTCCTCCTCCTCCTCCTCCTCCTCCTCCTCCTCCTCCCTCCCCTCCTCC